AACAATTCAAAATCAAGCTATTCAGTTGTCATTTCAGTCATAATTTTCAGTTAAATAATAATTCCCATCTGTTGGTCATCTAGAAAGATTAGTTTGATATTAAACTCTTGGAAAATTTTATATTAAGTTATTTTTATTTTAAAATTAAGTTATTGTAATACATAAATATTAATTAATCTTTCTCATTTGTTGGAGACTCAAAAATATACATATTAAAAAGAGCTTAATGCTTTGTATACCTCAGAATAATAGTAGCCAGCATTTCTTTTATTGTCATGAATTAACTCCCTCTAGTATCTCAACTACTCTTTGGAGTAAATACTCTTACCCTCGTTCTCTGGATGAGGGAAACTGAGGGGTAGAGCACTGAAGTTAATTGAAGATGCCACTCCAACCCATGCTGTCTGTGGCAGAGCCTACATTTTTAACTTCTATGTATCTGAGAGTCTTCTCCATCTCACCTCTTCTGAAGCCCCCACCTCATATTGATGGCCAGGAGTAGGTGAATGCCCTGTGTGGAATGGCTGCACATCTTTCAGTAAAATAAGCGTTGTACTTGCCTTTGCACCAAACGGTAACCCTTAAAGGATGATTCTGACATGTTTCTAAGATCTTCAGGTGAAACAAGGCTTGCAGAAGGAAATCATGATTATTTTCAACAAATCAGTCTGCTGTACTAAATTAGGAATACTAATTCAAGACACTCAAATCATACTACCTTGTTGAGAGTGTATATTTCCACATCTCAAGAGGGCTCTCAGTAGGGATAAAAGAAAGGCTCCAGCTCTTAAACTAAATTAACGCTGACTTTCCTCTGATTTTAACTCACAACCACACACACATTCCTGTCAGTGCTCTCTGATAATATGGTCTCATTGGAGAATGGCTACCAGGTGCCCATTTAGACCACTTGACCCTGAAAGTGACTATGATTACAAAAGTATGTTATCACATGAATAGAAGCAGAGCAAGTTGTACATTTTAATCTCTCATTAATAGATAACACCCTTATACACAGTTTGTACTTGTGTGTAATACTATTGGGAACAGAACTAGCTTTGATCGATTTATTTGGTTATTTCCTATGATTGAAATGGCTTAGAAAAATGAAGAGAATTTTTACTTTCGAGTGGTTTAATTGATTTATTTTACCAAGGTAGTTTGCTTATTTGAAAATATTTGCTTCAAATGGGGTTACTCTGAACCCAGAGGGCCATTCCTTGAAATGGAACTAGCTTTGGGCAGGATTGTGGAGATATAATTAAGAGATTGATTAGCTCTTAGGCTCTTTTAGATGTAATGGCTTATAGTCCTAAATGTGGTCCTTTTGACATTAATGAATGTTTTGATTGAGGACATGTGTTTTAAGGCAGTGCGTAATTATCTCAACTAGTTTTACCCATCAAAGTATAGCAATTTCGGCTATCTATATAAATTTTTTATATAAATCTAATTAAATGAGACTCCTGTTTTCTTGATTTACAGAAAAGGCACCTCCAATTCAGGTACAGTTACTAATGAAAAGAACCTGCTAATTTCCTTGCTCCTGTGACACAGTGTCCTCATCCGTATGCACACCCATTCTTCCTCCCCAGCCCAAAGCTTATTACTCATCAGTAATAACTGATAATATGGTCTCATTGGAGAATGAGAATGAATAAACATTCATTTAAAGTTATTTTATTTTTGGGCCGGCCCGGTGGCGCACTGCTACAGTGCGCCGCTTGGGAAGCATGGTGGCGCTCCC